TGTTGTTTGCTTTCTTGATGATAACCATTCTGGCTGTGGTGAGACAGACCTCCTTATAATTTTGATTGTCCTTTTCCTGATAGCTAAGGATGCTAAAAATTTTTTCCCATATATTTACTAGCTGTTTGTCTATTCCACTACTCTTACATCTTAAAGTTTTAGGATTTTGAATATAGTCTCTAGAAGAAAAGAAAAGCCTCCAAAGAGCTTATTGTCCATTCAAACCCTTTTTCTTTAGGCTAAACATCAAATCCAGAGAATGAGAACTAGAGAATCTTTCAAATGTCTTTGCTTTCTCTGGATCATTTCTTTTCAGTGTTAATTTTCTTTTCAGTCTTTGTAATTTTACTACTTATCTATTGATTGGCCAGCCCTCTGGAGACAATAGGGCTACATTCTATATTTTTTGTTGTGAACTAGCCTTTAACGGCTGAGCTGTCCCTCCAGCTCAGGGTTACATTCTAAAACTTAGATATGAAATGCATCTACAATACAGCTATGTTGTGGGGTTGCTGGGCATGCGCAGATATACGAGTATGCAGAGCTCTGCACTCTCTTTTCAGCAACCCAGTACCTACTTGTTGGGTAACAAGCTTTGAATATAATTTGGGGAACATCATAGAAGCTTTGTTAGCAGTGGTTTTAGTAGCCTGTATGTCTCTGACTTCCTGTTCTTCTTTTGTTCCCTAGCGATTAAGCTAGCTGTATAAGAGAGGAATTAGTAATGAAAGCGCTTCTGAATCCCAGTTAGTCCCTTTGATTAGCATCTTTTCTTCTAACATATGGTGAAACAACGAGCAATGATTGTGGTTTCAAATCTAAAGAATTACACTATCTGTTCATTCCTGGAACCTGAAGTAAGCATCTGGTGGCTAGAGCTTCCAGAAATAACAGAAAGAAATGAACGAAGACAAACAGCACCTTAGCGCTCGTGGGTGAAAATGTGTAAACAAGATTTAAGCCACCAGAGGCCAACAGGGGACTGATCCAGACTCCATGAATGTAGTGTCAGTGAGGAGGCCTCAGAAATCTCTGAGGCCTTGGGTAGTAGACCAGTGCTTACCATGGCGTACAAGTGATCTTTGGGAGCCCATTCAATATGGAGGGATGCTCTCTCGGCCTAAACACATGGGGGAGGGCCTAGGTTCTGCCCTGGATGAAATGACAGACTCTGGAGATCCCCACAAGGGGGGGGGGGGGAATGATATGGGGATTGGGTGGGGGGCTGGAGGGGAACTGGTGGAGGCACAAGGGAGGAGGGGTGGGAGAGGGAACTGGGATTGACATGTGAGGCATTCATGTTTCTAATTTAAATAAAAACATATATTGAGGGGGGGAAAAGATTTAAGCAACAGCTTAAGTTAGTCCATCACATTAAAGGGTGGAGAGCCAGGGAGGTGGGGTGGTTCCCTGGAAACCAGAAGACCTGAGCTCCAACTCCCAGGATGCACTCAAAGCTGAGTGAGTCAGCATCTGTAATCCAAGCATACCTACCATGAGATGGGAGACGGAGACAGGAGAAACCCCAGAAAATGCAGAGCCGGTTTGCCAAACAATAAAGAGAACCTACCTTAAACGTCTTAGAAGGTGGGGGGGTGATACCTGAGGCTGTTCTCTGACATGTTCCACACATGTCCTGTGGCGCATGAGTACCCTCACTCACGCACACACAAGCGTACACACATATACATACTACACATGAATACAAAAGATAACTAGACTTCTACTTCCTTTTATGTAGGAAATAGAAACCATGCCCTGGGCTTAAAGATGTCTTCCTTTTTGCCCAATCTTACCACTAGAAATGTACTATATTGAGAATTTCTAATCAGAAAAAAAATATGCTCTGACTTTCCTTACCTCTATTGCATGTGAGCTCAGAAGTACCCCCAGTCTCCACCCACTATTAGATTGGAGCATTTTGTTACTTTCCACACTAAACGTCTGTCTTGGTTTTTTTTTTCATATTTTATTTTAAGATTATTCTGGCTCACACTTTCCATTTCCAGACAACACTGGGCAAAGAAATTGAGATAAAGATATGCTGTTCATTCTGTGGTGGTATTCACTTGAACAAGTACTGAAGGAAATTCATTTGTTTTTTTAAAACTGGGATAGGGTAATAATTAATCTGCTGGAGTTGCCATGAGAAAATACCACCAACTGGGTGTCCTAAACATCAGCAATCTTTTCTTTGTAGTTCTGGAGTCCAACACCAGGGTGTCAACAGTTCTGGCTCTTCTGGAAGCTTGTCTGACTCACAGACAGCTGGCTGCTTCTTGGGGATATCCTTACATGGCCTCTCTGTGCCTGCAGATTCTTTGCTGTCTCTTCATCTTCCTGTGGGGACTCCAGTCTGATTGGGTTACTCCCTTATGGCTTGATTTAACCTAAATTACCTTCCCTTTAAGTCTCCTTTAAAATAGATACCCTGTGAGTTGGGGCTTCAGCTCACATATTAGGAGTAAAAGCAGTTCACAACAGCTAGCAATGCAGTTTGTTAAATGTTTTAAATGTTTTTTAGTATCTTCCCTTTTGGAAGAAAACATAATCTCAAGAAGGAAGGTGATAAAATTCACATTTATATGTGAAAGTTGTTTGAAATACAAAAGTGTATGCATATGTGAATCATTCGGATATATTTTACAAGTCAAGGGGTAAATGAAAATAAAGTCACCATTAGCTGCTGCTTTATACTACCCCACAGAATCCAGGAGGACTTGTCAAAGGCAAAGGCAAGTGGGTAACACTGGATTCCTTGGAGTATCACTTACTGTTCAGTAACAGCCTTTTACAACATCTTACTTTTAGTGCATTTGACTAGGGTTTGCCAAATGTAACAAATCAAAATGCAGAATGCAATGTTTCAATTATAGTTCAAGAAAGGCGATTGCTTGATTCATTTATGATGAATGCCAGTCTCATTTGATAATTAGGACACACTTTTCAAAAACAAAAACAAAAAAAAGCTCCTTCATGGAGTATATATACTCTAAAAAAATTATTTGCTGTTTATCTAGGATTCCAATTTAACTGTGGGTTCTGCAGGGTTTGTTGTTTGGTTGGCTGTTTTCCGGCAAACTTAGATTAAAGACTGAATCTTCTGAGGTATGGGGTATGTGTGGAGGGGTTCATCGGTTAAGAATACTTGCTGCTCTTCCAGAGGACCAGAGTTTGACACACAGCAACCATGTCTGGCCACTTATAACCGTCTATAACTCTAGCTCTCAGGTACCAGACCACGAGTCCTCAATGGGCCTCCACAATTACCCTCACACACATGACATACACAGTAAAACACACACACACACACACACACACACACACACGAATAATTTTAAAGAGAAAAAAGAAAGAATGCCTCCTGTCTCCTGTCCCCACACCCAGTTGAACTGGTCTCACTAACTTCATAAATGTAATTTTCTGGCCTTTATTCAATGGTTTTGTTTTGTTTTATCTCTGCCCTAGAGCACAGACCTTAGGCTCCTGTCCAAGGTGCTGCATGATATATGACTACACTGTATCACATTACATAATAAAAATAGTTATGTACCCAAACCTCCGACTGAAGACTCTATGGCTCTCTAGCGGCATCTCCTCACGCCATCGTATGCTTGCACTACAGGCTTCAGACACTAAGGGTATCCATCAGTTGTTCCTCTCTGAACGCTAGGCTGCTGGCTCACCTGTAAAAACAGAGGACTGCATTCGAGGTGTTTTTCCCACGGGTCCTAACAATCCCTCTCTAGGTGTCTCTGAAATGAGGGTTTCACTGATTCTCCCATTATGAATCCTGAATTGTTCCTACTTCAAATTATTCCTGTTTTTCTCTTTAAGTTCATAGTTCTTCGATTGTTAAATAATTGAAAATTATAGTACTCAGAAATTTCACCTCTACAATGAAGTTTACCAATCCTAGATTCATCCAAGGGTGAAAGAAAGTACATAGATTTTTTTCTTTTCCTCCACTTCTTCCCCACAGTCCCCTTAACACAGATTTTTGTGCAGATCGCGAGCTCAGATGCTGTGCACGCGAAAATGCTGATGATGTTCAAACAATTCCGTGGTGGCGGGCTCTGACTGATGGAAATAATTTTGCAGGAACTGAAGCAGTCTCTCGGGTTTGAGTCAGACATCAGCAGCTCCTTGTTCTCTACCGCCATCTAGTGTCGCCATGGTCACACACATCTGTGCAACGTATTAGCTCTGAGCTGAGATTTTTAAATATTACTATAAATCAAATGGATGAATTGTTTTATTCTCGTCATCGTAGTAAAAGGAGATTTACAGAGTGTTTCAACAGATAAAATGCAATAAATTTTAATAAAAGTTAAGTACAACACAATGACAGACCTTAGCATTTAAATGGTATAAATGTATGCGATTTAATCTTTATGATGTTCAGATGTAAACCTGAACACCAAAAGAAGAAATGCAACATACCCTCACGTGTGAGAAAAATAATCTCCTCTGCTCTTGTATCATGGTAAAGAATATTTTTGAAATAATGTAATCATAGCTGAGGAAAAGCGACAAAATAATGTTCTCCTAAATGTGGAGTCAGTGCAGGCTGCTCAACCCATTTAACCACTTGTCTTCAATTAGATTCGAGCTTTAGTCTCATTATTATTTATAAACGCAATACAGTGCTTAATGAGTGTTGAATAATATTTAGTTTTTAATGTCCCATAATCTGGAACTTTCTCCAAATGGCACAATAGTGTGTTTAATTGTGTGAATCTAAACTAAAAAATAAATTTCTCTAATAAATGAAGTAAAATCTTTCCAAAGTAAGACTTTTCCCCCATTAAAGCAATTTTTCCCGAATAACAATTATGGGGGGATAACATTTTAACATTTTCCCAGTTCTCTATTTTAATTTAAAGTGCCAACACTATTACAAGTGCTTAGGGATTGCAAATAAGAGATATTTAAAAGGAATTGCCTGTGTCTTAATATACTTGTGAGCCAACTTGGAAATATCCGTTTTTATTTTTCAGGGTGGGAAAATCCCCATACGGTGGACAGCCCCAGAAGCTATCGCCTACAGAAAATTCTCTTCAGCAAGTGACGCATGGAGCTATGGCATTGTCATGTGGGAGGTGATGTCCTATGGAGAGAGACCATACTGGGAAATGTCCAACCAGGATGTAAGTGCATGGACAGTTCTGTCATTTTGGGAATGCAAGCACACTACCTTTGAGAAAGAAAATCCTCCTGAAGTCTCTCTCAGATTAACCCATGTCTTGCTGACTGTTTCACAAGGGACTTAGGGAGGGGTAGGCTTGAGAATCTGAGGAACCTTTCAGAAGCTGACTGGTGAGCTGGGCTGTGTTCCTTGCCTGATCTGTGTCCTTTCTGAGACATTCTCACTGTTCTAGGGCAGCAAGAGTGTGCTTGCCTACAGTTAACCAAAAGAAAGAGTAATGGTGACTTTTCATTATATCCACGGGGCAATACAGGGCATCACTACAAAGCCTGTATCAGCGAAGGCTAGATAACACTTAGAAGAAAAGTGAAGGCTTTCCGACGATGCACTATCCATAGATGTCATCTCTCAAGGTTCTTTTGAGATACATAATCTTTTTTTCAATCTCTCTTTTCTCTTTTTGAGTTATGTTTTATCTGTAGCAATTACATTTGTGGTTGATAACATTACAGAACCAAATAGTTCATACACTCAGCCTCTATGATCTGCCCACAGTCATAGAGACAATAATCAAAATTATACATATCCCAACAATGCAAGTGAGGGCAAGGTCAGAGCAGACAATGTATTCTCTCACCACTGCCTCCTCTCAGAACTCAGGTTTGTCTAATTGGCTTGCCTTCTTCAACGCACCCTGACCGTTTCTAAAGCTATAGTGATGGGAAATGAGCACTGGTGTGATTTTGACTGTCTGCAGAGGCAAGGATATCTATGTGACTGTGAATCACCACACACACACACACACACACACACACACAGAGAGAGGGGGGGGAAGGGGGAGGGAGAGAGAGAGAAACAGAGACAGAGAGAGAGAGAGAGAGAGAGAAAGCATAACTACTGTAGCACCGCATTCCTTTATTCCAGTTAAAACCTGACCACCTCCCCACAAACCTCCACACCTCACCCTTTGTTAGTACGCACTGCAGATTGTTCACATTTTGCACGATTTGTTTTGTTTTGTTTGTTGAGATCCGCCTGCCTCTACCTCCCTAGTTCTGGGATTTTATAGTCAGGCGTAAGTTTGACTAGATGTTGGGCACGGTTGATGCTTCTGCTGACATGAGTGTTGCTTTTGCAGCTGAGTCCTACTTCATTGTGTGAGTATCTCCTGACTGATCGTGGGGATTTCTAACATCAGATACCTATAAAACAGCAGGGATAAGGTCACGTGAGCTTCACAGTCATTGCTCTGCAAAACACAACTTCAAACATGAAGACAGAATAGCGTGGTCCACCCAAAACATCTTGGAACATCTGGTCTTCTATACAGAGTGTGCTGTAACAGCAACCTCTGTGACATACCCAGCATTGGAGAATTTTAAGGCCATGTCCTTTGGCTACAATCCTCTATTCCCTGGAGAGGTTTCATCTAATGGACCTGACAGCTCTTCCTGTCACCTTGTCACTGTGTGTGCGTGTGTGTGAGCGTGTGTGTATACGTACGTGCACACTGTGTGTCAGTTCATCAAAGCCTTCCCAGCACGGACTGATGATACATTCCTGAACAGGAAACTTTTTCCTTCACTCCCAGAACTTCCACTGTGAGTTGTGGTTTTATTTTTATTGCTTATTTGTACTTCTTTAAAAAGAGCAGTTAGCTAACGTCATATAAAACCTAAATTCACTGTAATACCTGCTTTATTCTAAATGTGAGCATTGCTAGTGTACATATTCTGTTTAAACTAAAGTAAGCCATCTAAGCAAATCCCCAGAATCAAGTCCTCTTCAACATTGCTCCTTGTCTAGCGTCTCATGGTAATGGGTTGTTAGTGCTTTTAGATTGCAGCCATAGTGAACTTTTAGAACAAGTCATATTCGGGGAAAGCAGTCAATGACTGTGACTTCTATGTTGGTTTGTTTGTTGTTAATTTAGCTTCCTGTTTGGGGCTGGTGATCTCCTGGCCTTACTGTGTTTGTGTTTTTAATAGTTTGGAGAGAGACTGGAAATGAAATAAATAAGCAAAAATACAATATGTGACCTAACGCTAATGGGAAAAAAACAAAAGAGGGAGATAAGAAACCCCAGGCTTGGATTTGATTTATTTTATGAAACACTTTCTTAAAAGTCATTCACTTATGACAATAAAAGCCACAATTAGTCCTTCTTATTAGACATTCAGAAGGAGTAGTTCTAACAAAAGGCTGACCAAGAGAAAGAACAATTTCCCAAGTTTTTTGATCCCTATATTTTCTTTCCTCCTGGGACACGTCGCATGACTGTGATGATGTAAACTATGACTCAATCATGCAAGCTGCTTAAACTCTGAAAGTGCCTCAGTGTCATGAATAAATAAAACAGCAGAGAAATGATTTGGGTTCCTTCTAATATGCTTTCTAAGAGCAAGAGGCTGTGATTTTTTTTCTCTGAAGAGACACTGGTGGCACTTATTACAACAAAGAAAGATCCATGCTCTTTCTTTTCTAGAATAGGGTTCTTCCTACCTCTGCAGAGGTGCCAAAGCATAGACAGGACTTTCACAGGGCAGATCAAGTACAAGTGAGGATGCCAGGCCACAAGACGGATTGCTGAGGAGGACAGCTTCTGTAGGGAATAGCCCAAATGTGCCATTTCAACTCAGACTACCAGGTAAAATGTTCTGAATTCTTGCCTAGAATAGTCCAGAGCCTGTTGTCAGCCTCTCTCCACCTGGATCATGCCCAACAGTTCACCCAGCAGTTCTGGCCATAGATCTTAATGATCAGCATCCAAGATGACCATTTAGAGAGTGATTTTTGTCTATTAAGTCTCATTTGACTGCCTGAACTCTATCTGGAACAGCCAGGAATTACCTCCTGACACTGAGCCTACTCACATTTGTTCTCAGGATTAGGCTGAATTTATCTCTGCCCAGAGTCAAGATAGGTTCTCAGTCACTGTGGTTTCACTGTCTTTGTGGGTGACCAAAGAATACTCAAGGGAGAATCTGAGAACCAGGAAAGGAAAAAATGGCTGACATTGGGGAGCCAAATCTTGAAGGCTTCAAATCAACACATTAGTAGATGATAGCAGAATGAGTTAAAATCTTTTATGTATCTCATGAATACCTTCTGCTGCTATAGGAGTAGGAGCTGGAATTTTCTTTAGCTAAACATATTGGAAGTTAGCATATCTAAGATGGATCCCACAACCTGAATCTCCATTTCGAAGCAGAAATAGCTTAGTCAAAATTCCCCAACTGCTCTGCCCAAATACTGTCCATTCCCTGTTTGTCCTCCAATCCTTATTCATTGAGTCAAGGTATAGTTTTACATTTGATCATTTCCAATGTCTTTCTAAGAAAAGTGATGGGGCAGAGAATAAAAGTCCAGCTACGTTCCATTTCAATATTTTATATGCTTTTACCACATTTTGGTGAGTTTAACAAAGCTGTGGGCACAGTTCAAATTGAAAGCTACCATGTTTTATGATTGTTAATGAGTTTAGGAAATTTCAGACAGTTTCTAGGAAATAGTTTTTCTATTCTGCAGACTATGGTGTATTTTATTACAATGAACGATTCGGAGTCTGCAGAATCTGTGTTAGTGAATAATATAATGAGTTTCCCAAAGGTCAGTGGAATTGTACATTAGGGAAGGGAAATGAGAATTTTAAAAAGGCAGAATGCACAGAACTATCCCATAAAAAAGCTAACAAAATATAATAGCAAGTGCCAGATGCTTAGCCATTCAGCAAGTACTTATTAAACATGTGTCAATCACCGGACCAGGTGTGCATGAGGGGCAAGGATGAGGAACAGGGAAAATCAGTCCTCCACTGTGTTCAATGACATAAACAAGGAGCAGAAGGACAGATGATGAACTCTCTCCCACGCAAGGAAGATGATCACATAGCACTAATGAGTGGAGTGGTGTTCAACTCGACTCTAGGAAGGAGAGGTAGGCAGCACATGCACGGAGGTCAGGCAGCAAGCACCAGGTATGCAAACTCATCCAGGCCAGAGAAACAAGGGCTAGTGTTCTATGTAGCGCACCAGGGTAAGGTAACTAGTGGTTATATGCTTTGTGTTTCAGGGTTGGTTTGGTTTGGTTTGGTTTTTCGAGAGAGGGTTTCTCTGTGTAGCCCTGTAGCTGTCCTTGAACTAGCTCTGTAGACCAGGCTAGCCTCAAACTCAGAGATCTGCATGCTTCTGCCTCCCAAGTGCTGGGACCAAGGGCATGTGCCATTAGCCCTGGCTTGGTTATACATTTTGCAAAGAATTATATTAGAGAATTTTGAGGATTTCCAGAGCAAAGAAATGACAAATAGTTGCAGAGACGGAAATGTTAATTTTGCTGATTGATTGCTACCCACTGTGCACCCATATGGAATTCTTACTGTGTGCCAGAAACACACAAAAGAATTAAGGAGGCATATTTTTCACTAGGAGTATCCATTATTTTGGTGTAGAGATGAAGTTCTAATACTTTATAAGTCCTGCACCCATGTCCAATTAGAATGACACTTACCAAGGGCATGTGCTGTTCTTTTTTAAAAAATGTAATAAAGCATTATATGACTACAATATAGTTATTTAAAATATATACACCAAGAAAGTATGCAATCTCTGCTATAGTGTTTTTCTGATTACTAGTGAAAGGAACCCAACACAAACTAACTTGAACAAGAAGTTTTTTTGCTTTGTTTTGTTTGTTCAAATCATGAAACAGCAGGTTGTCTAGCACACTGGATGCAGGGTTTAGTGTTAGTCTGAATTTCCAGACTCTTTCTAATCACTACATTCTTTGCTGCCTCATACTGTGGGGCTCAGGATTCCAGCCAAGCAATAGCAGTGTAATGAAACCTTTCTCAAATTCCCATGGCAATGAAATGTTCAAGAAGACTCCGGCTAGCTCTGTAAGGCCTCTCTCCATTCAACCCTGACCTAAAGCCCCACCAGGAAGTGAGTACTGTGATTAGCCATGCTAGATCTCCATGCCAGCCTTCTCCATTCCAAGGTGGAT